ACCCCAACCCCAACCCCAACCCCAACCCCAACCCCAACCCCAACCCCAACCCCAACCCCAACCCCAACCCCAACCCCAATCCCAATTCCAAATACCCATTCCAAATATATTTATATATTTATTTTTTCCAAATATATTTATAACATATAAATACCCATTCTAAATATATTTATATCTATAAATACCCATTTTAAATATATTGATTTATTTATTTTTCTGATAAATTTATAACTAATTCATCCAAATATATTTTTAACATATAAATACAGATATCAAATATATAAATTTATAACATTAAATTCAAATTGCAAATGCATTTATTTATTTATTTAAAAAATATAAATAATATATGTATATTTTTTTAATAAAACATTTATTATACTTTTTTCTATTAAATTATAATAAAAATAATTAAATATATGAAAATAAAATTAAATTTAATATATTTATTAATTTCATAATAATAAAATTAAAATTAAGTATTAATATTCTATTTTTTATAGATAAATATTAATATAAATTAATTTAAAAATATAATATTTTCGTACTAAATAAAATTATTTTATTTTATATTAAGAATTTAAATAAATAAAAATAAATTTATATGCATTTAAATATAATTATTTATTATTATTTGCAAAAATTATATAATATTAAATTTAATTATAATATAGTCTTTTCTTAAAAAATATTAATACTTTATATAAATTAATTAATAAACACAAATAAAATTACATTTTAATATTTAATTTTCTTTCATATATATAGATAAATAATTATATTTGATATATTAATAAGTCATATAATATATTTTTTATTAAATTATATATATAATTAATCTTTTAAATAAATAATAGTATGTTTTTTATATTTTAGATTCATATAATATATCAGATTTTATATTGTTTAAAAAATATTTTTTAAATTATAATAATAATATGTAAATTATAAAATTTTTACTCATATTAAATATGTACTTATTTTTTATTTTTAAAGATATTTTATATAATATTTATAAATATATACTATTATTAATATTTTATTTTATTAAATATATTAAATTAATAAAATAAATAATTTTAATTAATATTATTAAGATCAAATTATTATTTTTCTCTTTATTTAATAAAAATAATTTCAAAAAGTTTAAATATTTAATAAAATTAAAAATATTCAAAATTTACTTATGTATCAAAAAAATGCTAAATAATTTTTTTAAAAATTACTGAAAATATGAAAGAATTTGATTTTAATAAAAAAGAAAGTTTAATTTTATATATTTAAAAAATATTTTAGAAAAAAAATTTCACAAATAAATTTTTAAAATATTTACTTAAAATAAAAAATGTTATATTCTTTATTTTGAAATATATTAATTATAAAATTTTTATATTTTATTTTTTTAAAACATATTATAAAAGTCATTGATTGAAAATACTAATGAATTTAATACAAAAAATTGATTAAAATTATAATATCAAATAGATTAAAAATTAAAATTATATTATAATATAAAATTATAATTTTTTATTTGGTTTATAATTTAATTGGATTTACTTAAAACATATAATTTTATTTCTAAATAAATAAAAAGTAAATATTAATAATTTTAAATAAATTAAAAATAAAAAATTTCATAGTAAAATATTAATTGCTATAAAACTATTAAAATTTATAAAGCTCTTTGATATTTAATAGAGTTGCTTTATATTTATAAAAAAATAAATTAAAATTTAGGAGATAATATTTTCTATATTTTAAATTAAAAAACTAAAAACTATACTAAATGGATTTTTAAATTTATAAATTAAATAATATTATATTATTTATAAACAATAATTTTTCAATTTTATAAAACTATTAATAGATTTATTTTTATTTATACATATTTTTCATTCTTATTTATTTGTTTACACATAACTTTCCTATGAAAACTTACAACTTCCACTTCCAAAAGCTGGTTTAAAATAAAAATTTACATTTTTATTATTTTTATTGTTTTCTAAACAACTATACTATCCAGGTCCAGGCATATTATTTTATTTTAAAATTTGAAATCTATTTTCTTTTAAAAAACAAATCCCATTTTTATTACTTTTGTCAATATTTATATTATAATAACCTGGCCCTAAATTATTTGATTCGTTGTTTTTTTATAAATATGAAAACCTTTTTTCTTTTGAATAAAAATTAATTCCTTTATATTTATTTTTAAATGAGCTTTAAAGATTTTCTTAATAATAATGGCCAGGAGAAGGCACTGGATTTAATTAAGAACTGTTGTATATACATATATTTTTATTTTATTAAAAAAAAATTACTTAAAAGATAAAAGTAATTATTCTATGCTTTATTCTTTATTTAAAATGTTATACTCGTAAATGTTTTTATGAAAAACTTTTCCTTTTAATATTTTTATATCTAAAGTTTCGTTATTATCTAATTTTCTAATTTTTTAATTTTAAATTACCACATTGCCTAAAGACTCTTCTTCAAACTCTTCTTAATTATATTTTTTTGGTTTTATGCATGAAGGTATGTTTATTTAACATTTCTATACTTTTTTTTTATGAAATCATATTAAGGATTATATTAACCAGGTCCTATAATTTAATTTTACTTTTTATTTTATTGAATTAATTTTAATAAGCATTCACCATATTATTCATCTTATTAAATTGGATTTTAAATGCCTTAAAAAATGGCTTTACATTTAGGTTTTAGGATTTTTTTTATTGTTTATGATTATGTTATTTATTTTAAAAAGAACTTTTTTTCTTCCTTTTATTTTTCTTTGAATCTGTCTGCCAGACTAAATGATTATTTATAAGAAATTTTAGGCTATAATGCATCTTTTTACTATTTTTTTATTTATTTATATATTTTTTTATTTTTTTACATAATATTATGGACTTGGAAAATAATTTGGAGGATCATTGAAAAGCGTTTTTTTTTGCTATTAGAAAAACTTCATTTTTTACTAATTTTTTAATTTTTATTTTTATTTAATTTATAAAATATATATATATAAAAAAAATTGGTGGGTAAATAAATAAAAAATAATAAAAAAGTATAAGAAAAAGAAAAAGAAAAAGAAAAAGAAAAAGAAAAAGAAAAAAGAAAAAAGAAAAGAATTGAAAAATAAAATAAAAATAATTTATATTTAACTTTTATCTTAATAACTAACTAAATATTTTTTTTTTAAATTTAACACAACCTATACATAAAAAAAATTAAAAACTAGAAATAAAATAAAAAAATGGATATTGAAGAACCAAAAACATACGCAATTCCTTTTATTTCATATGACTAAAAAGAAGGATTTCAATTAAATAAGCAAGCCGAAGAATATTTGCGATCATTACCTGAAAACCGAAAAATAGGAGTAATATCAATAGTGGGCAAATATCGTACTGGAAAGAGTTTTTTTGTAAATAGGGTACTTTTAAACAATCAAAAGGATGGTTTTTAAGTTGGTCCGACCGTAAATCCATGCACAAAAGGATTATGGTTATGGAGGAAAGAATTGAAAAGTAGTGAAGATGAAAATATGGATATTTTATTGATAGATACCGAAGGTTTCGGGGGAATGGACGAGAATGTAAACCATGATTCGAGAATATTTTTGTTTTCCCTTTTGTTGTCATCATATTTTATTTATAATTCATAGGGTAGTATTGATGAGAATGCATTAAATAATTTATCATTAATAATTAATTTAGCAAAAGACATCCAAATTAAATCAAAATCAAACCAAAATGAGGATCCGGCAGAATATTTTCCATCCTTTTTGTGGGTTGTGAGGGATTTCGTACTTTAAATAGTAGATAGTAAAGGTAATAAATTAACATAAAAGGAATATTTAGAGAAAGCTTTAGAATTATAAAAAGGAGTATCTGATCATGTAGAAAGCAAAAATAAAATAAGAAGATAATTAAAGCATTTTTTTAAAGATAGAGATTGTGAAACTTTAATTAGACCAGTTGAATAAGAAAGGGATTTATAAAAGTATTTATTTTTATCTTTTTAAATATTATAGAAATTACTTTATATTTTTCTATATCATTTATAATATTTTTTATAAAAATAAAAATAGTTTAAATAAAATAAAAAATGAATACTTAAGACCTGAATTTGTTGAATAAATAAATTTATTACGATAAAAAATATTCAAAAAAATAAAACCGAAAATGTTGTGTGGACGACATCTAAACGGTATGATGCTTTTAGAAGTTTGCCGTTCATATATCGAATCTATAAATAAAGGAAGTCTTCCTAATATAGAAAATGCTTGGACTTATGTAAAGAAAAACGAAGGGCAAAGGGCGTTTTAAAAATCAATTGAATAAATGGAAAATATAATATAATAGGCAAAAAAAAAGCTTGTAGATCCAAATAAAATACATGAATTGAGGGAAAGCATGAAGTTGGAAATGCATAAAATTCTCAAAAAAAATGCTATAGGTGAAGAGGAAGATTATCAAGAATACTATGCTAAAATTGATGATAAGTTAAATGAATCAATATTGGAATTTAAGAAGGAAAACAAGTACTAATGGAAAAAAAATACGAGGAAATTTCAAAAGAGTGGATAGAGGCGATAGAAGGAAAACTTAGAAATGAATAATATGAAAATTTCTCAGATTTCTAAGAAGATATTAATAAATATAAAGCCTATTTTGAAAATTAAATACCATAAAAAGATTCTAATGGAGAGAAATTCTTCATTTAAATTTCAGAAAAACTGCATAAAAATGCGGCTGAGAAAGTCTCTAGAAAATAAGAAAGAAATTAATATAAATAAATTTAATAATTAAAAGAACTTTTGAATTATTAAGAAAAAGAAAATAAATAAAAAACAGAAGAAATGACAGAAATTTAAAAGAAAATTTAAAATATTGATTTCGAAATAGAATAAAAATTACAAAATGCGAATTTGTAAATAAAAAATTTAGAAGAAAAATTATAAAAGGAAATTTCTAAAAATGAAAACTTAGAAAAAGAACTTTTGGTGATTTGTAATTAAAAAAACAGTAAAACTAAAATTCGGAAGATTTTAAAAATTTAAAAGAAAACTTAGATAGTGAAAAAAGTGAAAATATAAAACTTAAAACAATGCACGAAAGAGCACTTGCTTTATTAGAATAGGAAAATTAAAGGACTTAAAAGGAAAATATTGGTTTACTAGAAAAAATACACGCTTTGGAAAACGAAAATAGGACTTTAAGGACTGAAAAGGCTAATTTAGACGTTTAAATTCATCTTTTATAGAATTAATTAGAAGCATTAGATTAAAAAAAGAGTAAAATGCTTAATTTAATGCAAAACGAACATGAATAATAATTATTAGATATTAGCTCAGAAAGTGATAAAAATAAAATAATTCTTAAATAACATTCTTAATTGGTTGTAGAAAAAAATTGCTTGGAAAATAAAGTGGAGACATTGAAAAAACAATTAGAAGAAAGTTAAATGAAATACGAAAAATTAATAAATACGATTTAGAATTAATAAATTTAACTAAGAAAAAATAAAGAAGGAATTTAAGATGAAAGTTTTTCATAAAATTCTTTTCGAAATAATAATAATTTGGATGTAAAAGTTGAATATTTAGAAGGAAAAAATAATAAATTAAAATAATTTAAAAAAATGATTAATGCAAGTACATCTATATAATGCATTTATTGCTCAAAATTTATTTCTACGAAAATATTTTTTAATCATATAAATTTGTGTATTAATAAAAATAATTAAGAAAATAGCCCATAAGATGAATCTAAGACTAATATTAATATATATAATTTATCCTAATTACCTGTTAACTTCCTTAATTTAGATTAAAATGATTTCACTATATCAATTTATTAAACTGTTGTTAGAGAAGCTAATGATAATTAAGTACAATAAATATATATATATATATATATATATATATATATATATATATATATATTTATATATTTATATATATATTTATTTTTTTAATATACAAAGTAGCCTTTTACTGAATATATTATTTAAATGATTTATTAACTCATTAAATGGACTATTGCACGTAAGTATAAAAACTTCTGCGAATTACATACATTATTAATGAATACTTTCCCTGGCTTGAAGATTTAAGAATAAGGAAATTTAATAATTTCTGATTTAAACGGAACAAGTAAAACTATAGAAGATAGATGCAAGAATTTGCAATAATACATTAGAGAATTAGTGAAAATAGATATAGTTAGAAATTCTAAACCTTTCAAAAATTTCCTTGAAATCGATAAATATGTTGAAAAATATAAACTATGATTTCTTTATTTTAAATTTTATAAATAATAATGTTTAATTATTATTATTTTTTAATTAAATATATTAAAATTTAAAAAAGCATATAATTTAATATAATATTTATGAAATAATAATATTTTAAATAATAAAAAATTCATTTATATTATTATCTTAGACTAAAAAAGATTAATAAATAAAATAATATTATTTTTATCATTATATAATAAAATATAATTTTAAGTAAATAAAAATAAAAAAAAAAATAATATATATAAATATATATATATATAAATATATAAATATATATATAAATATATAAATATATAAATATATAAATATTTATAAATTAAAACTTTTCTTTATAAAAAAAATGTAATTTTCGCAATAATTTAATTAAAAAATTATTAAAGTATAAAGAAATTTTATTCGATTTTTAAAAAATTTTAATAAAAAAAATTTTCAAAGTAGATTTTGAACCTTAAAAAAAAATTAATTTTACTTTTTAAAAATATAGGAATTTTATAAATCAAAAATATATAAAACTATTATTCTTTTTTATTTTTATAAATTTTAAGACTTCATTAATACATTTTAAACTTAAACTTATAAAAAAATAATTTTTTTATTTAAGCTTTATCTTATTGGATGAAAAATAGTTTTTTTATTTGAATTTGAATCTAATAATAGTTGTGTGCATAATTTAAAATACATTCAGAGCTTTTTAAGTAGCTAAAGTTTGAAAATAAAATATATAATTAATGAGATGCTTGAAAAATCCTTTTAGGGCCTTTTTATAATTTTGAGTTGAACTTTGTAATAAAAAGAATATATTAAAATGAAAATAATATAAAAATTACTATTAGAATTACATTAGGTCGTTTTTTTTGTTGCATTTTTTATAATATTTTTGGTAGATTTTAAATAAAAAATTAAAAAAATAAATAAATGAATCAAATTTTAAAAATTAATAAATATATTCAGAAATTAAATGAAATAAAAACAAGATATTTTTTTTTTATATCATATAAAAATAATATATGTAATAAATCCTATTAATAAAATATTAACTAATTCATGTAATTATCCATTTAAACCAAACCATAATCTATCTTTAAAATTTCTAGAAGGATTTACACCTCCTCCGCCTTTATTTCCACCTGTATTTCCACCTTTATTTCCACCTGTATTTCCACCTGTATTTCCACCTGTATTTCCACCTTTGTTTCCACCATTGTTTCCACCATTGTTTCCCCCTTTATTTGATTATGCTCCTTTATTTTATTATTATTATCCTACTTTTTATTATTTTTTGGTTAAAAATTATTTATTATTTATTATGGAAAGGCTTTAATTTTATTTTTATTTTTGAGAAATTATTCGTTTAAAATTTCTTATATTTTTTTTGGATATTTTTCTGATTAATGAGTGGTTTTCAAAAGATTAAATTTATTATACTAGTGTTAATAATAGCATTATTAAAGCAAATATTATTTTCTTTTTCATATTATATTTTTTTTAACTTTTATTTATAAAATTATATTAGAATTATATTTTTCAAACAAAAAAATGTTTTATTTATAGTTATTTTTCTTTAAATTAATAAATAAAATTAATTAAATTAAAATTTTATTACATAAATTCATTTATTTTATATTTAAAAATTTATTTAAAAATAGTAATAAAAATAAATAATAAAAAAAATATATAACTTTTAATATTACATATGAAATTTATTTTAATTATTTGATATAATATAATTATCTTAGTTTTATTTTCACAACAAAAAATGAATAAGATTAAATGAAAATCATTAAAAATGTTTTCATTCGAACTAATATCCAAACATTGATATAATATTATATATATTTGTAATAAAATAATGATAAATAGAAAATTAATAAATTAAAAGAAATCAAATAATCCCATTAATAAGTGATGAGCATTATATTAATTTTTATTTTCTAAATAAAGTATAAAGTATATATTTTTCGATAACATTCAAATATATTCATTACTTTGATTTTTAATAAATTTTATATTTTAAAAATTTTAAATTAGGTAAAAGAAATAAAATACAAAAGTATATTTTACTTTAGAAATTTCTAAGAAACAGTAAATTAAATAATTAAATTTACTTTTTTTGAAAATATATAAATATTTACAGGATGTCAAAATTTATTTAAACTAAGAAGATTTAAAGGTATTTTTTTGATTAAAAAAAAAAGTACAATATTTAATTATTTTAAATAATTTTTTCTTTTTCAATTATAAATTATATTTATTTTCTAATAATTTTATTCATTAAATTGTTGACTAATTGTTTATGAATATTATTTGTTATATATATGTTCTTTAATATTTACAATTTCAAAGCTTCTTTATATAATAAATACTGAACAGATAAAAATAAATAATCATTAATAATATAAAATTATATAAATAAAAGTAAATAATTTATTTGATAAAATTTAATTAAAATAATAAATTTCAAAATACAAATTAATTTTATTTTAATTTAAATATGAATAATAAAAAATATTTTATTTTTATAAGAATATCTTATATAAATTCAAAAGTTAATAGTTGTGTATTTTAAATTATGTGAAAGTTTATGGTTTATTAGATTATTTATCTGAATACAAATATTTTCCTTATTAAAATAAAAATTTAGATGTTATCCATTTGCTTAAATTAATATAATTTAAAATTTTTTTAATTTGAATATAAAATATATTTTAATATAAATATTATAAATGAATTTTTTTGAATTTAGAATGTATAATACTTAATAAATACTATATGGTTTATATTTATATTTATGAATATGTTAATAGTGGATGTTTTAAAATATTAAAATTTTTTTTTTTTTAGTCTAGACATAAAATATATTTTTAAAAGTTTAAATTAAATTTTAAATTATATTTTTTAGAAAATAAAAAATCAAATGTTTTAATATAAAAAAATTAATATATTATTAAAATAAAAAAATCACCTCCTAAAAATAAATATTTAAAAAAGATAAAATATTATAATTATATCATAATATAAACAAAACAAAGAAAAATCATTTAAAAAATAATATCTAAAAAATATATAAATAACAACAAAAACAATAAAATGTCCAATCCCCTAAATTATTAAGAATCGGAAGAAAGTATTGCCTTTAAAATCTCATTAATGTAATACTGGTCATCAAAAAACATGGCAAACATAAAAATACCCCAAATAGGTGGTCGTGAATTAGATTTTTTTAAATTATATAAATCTGTAATACGCCGAGGTGGTGCTTAGGCAGTTTCAAATAATAAAATGTGGAAAGAAATTGTTAATGAGTTCGGTTTTCCATCTACATGTACTTCAGCTTCATTTACATTAAGAAATCATTATTAAAAATACTTGCTAGGTTATGAATTTAAGTATTTTTTTCACCGTGAAGATGACGTAAATCTTCCCGATTTAAATCCAGGAAGAAAAAGGAAAAGCAAAAAACCTAATGATGATACATAAAAAGATGACTCAAATACTGAATATTCTAATACTGAAGAAATGAAAGAAAATAATTAAATTTAACCAGAATTATAGAGTACTAAAAATATTAAATAAGAATCTTAAATATAGTCTCATTCTATATAATAATCTATATAGTAGCCTATATAATAGCCTATATAATAACCCTAACTGCAATAAATAATACCTAAAATACAAAATAATTAAATCATACCGCCACCTTTAAGTAGCCAAATATTAACCCAAAAAACCCAAATTCTGGAATAAGCTACTGTTTAACAAAATCCTCTACTATAATAACATATAAAAAGTCAAGTAGCCCGAGATGTCGGCTACTTATACTAATTAAACGCTTAAAACAAAAAAGAAGAGATTTTTTATACAAAAAAAAGCCAAATGTTACCCACAAATTCAGACATAAAACGTGTAGTTCTGGCGTTCGAAAGTCGCCTTTAAGACGAAATTACATTCGCTTTAAATACTTTAATATTATACTCAGTAAGTAACCAAAGCAACTTCACATTGGAAAGTTATTTAAACCTGTTTGACAATATAGTGATTTATTTATAAGAATGTATAAAAAATACTCCTTTTTTGCATAAAAAAAAAAGACTAATTTAAATATTCTCGAAAATTATAATTTCCCAATATACGAAATAATCTAAAACTCTTAAAAAAGTCCTTTAGAACTTCTAAGAAAACGCAAATTTTCACAAGTAGATAATTTTTGTGAATTTTAAGGTGAATTAACTCTTTTAGAACATACAAGAGTTATTTTTTTAATAATTCGTAATTTATCCTATTCAAAAAGTAATGAATTATACATAGCCAAAAACGAAAAATTTCTCCAAATTACAATCAGTCTTTTTATCCAGAATGAAGACTAATAAATCACTAAGTATATTTTGGATATACTTTCCAATATTTCCAGACATATTTAATTATTATAAATTTCAGAATATAAGTATTTTGTCGAAAAAATCTTTGATTTTTTAAATGCGGAAACATCCGAAGAACTAGAAGCTTCAGTAGAAATAATAAGAAATTTAATAACTACATAGGAAAATGAATAAATAATCGAATAATACCTCCCTAAATATATAGAATAAATTACAAGATTAATGTTATAAGGATAAGGGGATATAAGGGAAGGTATTTTAGAATTTTTATTTTTTCTTAGTGATTTAAAAATGACTACGAGGGTTCAATTAGCGAAATACCCGAAATTAATTATGAGGATGGTCGGTTTATTATGTTCTGGAGTGATGAAATATTAAAAAGATAACATGAATATATTATAGGAAAAAAACGCCGAAAAAATAACTAAATTAGCCGCACTTACATTAAGTAATATTGCAATGGCTCCGGGCTCTAGGAATTATTTAAAACCATTCGAAAAAGAACTTTTTATAGTCGCGGCAACTGATGAAAGTGTAACGAAATATATTTCGAATATTTTAAGTGAATTAATTAATTATGAATAAGATAAAGATAATTTAAATGAAATTTATAATTGAGAAATTTATATTTTTTTATTTTAATAAATTTTTTTTATTTAATCCAGTTTTTATTAAATATATATTTATTTTTTTTAACAAAAAAAAATCAAATAGTAGCTTCTATATCTTCAAAAATTAATAAAAACATATTTCTTTTAGCATAACGACGCATTACTATAACTGCTACAGCTGCTAAAATTCCACTTCCAAATACATAAATATAATTAAAATCTTCACTTATCATATCAAATGTCTAATTTTAATGAAAAAAAATATATAAATATTTATATATAAATATAAATATATATATATATATATATATATTTAATTTTATCTATTTCTATATATAAATACTCTATCGGGTGCTACAGAACTCATAAACATATCATTTCCAAAAGCTACAAATAATACTGTTGATTCAAAATTAGATGGATAAATTTTTAATTATTAAAGATTATTTAACTATATATTTTTTTTTTAATTAATAAATATTATATATATATTTATATTTTACATTTAAACTATAACTCAAAGTATTTAAATTATTTACTGGTAAAAGATAACTATAAGGTGGTAATTAAGTACTTTCAAACGTATAATCACTATTATTTGAAATACTACCACTACTATTATTTCCTTACTATGCTTAATGCTTTATTGACCTTCTAGTCGAAATAAGATTTCTATCTAAAGAATATATTTAATTATTAGGAGTAATAACTATTAGATTTCTTTTCGTAATACACAATTTAGTATATACAGCATCAACTTTTTTAATTCCTAAAGGGAATCCGTATTTTTATTCCAAAGGAACTACTTAAATATTTTATTTTAAATAATTAAAATGCTCATATTAGCTTGTTTAAAAATAATAATTCTAGAGCATTCTTAAAAATGAGTTTTCGATTTTATTCGCATAAAATTCAATTGCCCAAATTTCAAAAATGCTATACGAAGGGTTCATATAGGTCACAAAGATTCCATTTTCAACAAAAACAACATTTATAGGTTAACTGACGTCCACATTTTTTTAATATTAATTATATATTACTCTACCTGATTTACAATTTATAACATACAAATTCACATTCCCAATATTATTTTAAATTTCACTTCTTGAACTAGTGACTACTGCTATATTATTGTAGTCTATATGCTTAAGAATTACACGAGAATCATCAAAAAGGGCAACTTTTGGTTTCGCATTTTCATCATAGGCACTTTGAATATCCACAAGTGTCTCTTTTTCATCTAAATAGAAGTTCCAGCTTTTTATAAATTTAGCATTTTGATATTAATATCCTTAAATGAGTTTTTAATCGAGTTAATATTCATAAAAAAAATCAGATAATCCTCTTTAAAGAACAATTTCTTTTAACTCTTGAGGATATATATGAATATTATAATCTTAATCGATTATAGCAAGAGCTTCAATATTTTAATCATCTATTTTTACTTTTATTATTTTTTTTACTTTTTTCATAAAAATAGTTCCGCCATATCCTAAATTACCCATTAATGGTTATATTCTATTTTATATTTTTAAAAATATAAAATAAATATATATATGAATATATTAAATAATAAAAATAAAGTTTACGTAAAAACAAAAAGTTTTGTTGTTATTTAAGAATGATATATAAGAATAGTTTCTTCATGTACTATATCATTTTTTCTCATTTCTATATTAAAAAATCCCTTTATTTCATAATCAGGTTTTACATATCGTTTAATAAAAGAAGTTCTATTGAATATATTTATATATATAAATTTAAATATATATATATATATATATATATATATATATATATATATATATATATATATATATCTATTATTTAATTATTACTTCCATATAATATCTCCTTTTTTAGAATCTATACCATATATAGTTCTATTTTTATTAACTGCTATAATTATTTTTTTTAATCCATACATAACTTCATATTAATCATCTGTTCCTTACTGTCAATTTTATTTTATATTATTTATAATATTTTGATTTAATTAATATATTTATTAAATTATTTAATTTACTTTATTTAATTATTAAAGTTCTTATAATGATCTAACATTAATTAAATTTTTTAAAAAATTAGCATAAGATAAGTAATTTTATTTTATATAAATAATAGCATCTCTAATTTCATTTAATATTCTTAAATAAATATTCTAGAAAATATAAATAGGATTATTTACACCTTAATCAACTATAATATATTATTTTAATTTTATTTTTAAAAATTATATATATATACTTAAAGATTTTTAATAAGAATTAATTTTCTATCTTAAGCATGATTATAATCTAACATAATTAAATCTTCAACATAAGCAAGTCCGTCTTCTCTTGACCAAATTAAATTATCTACATTAAAATTTACTAATTAACATTTTATAAAATAGCTATGAAAATCGTTTTATTAAATAAAAATATCAAATTATTCATTTTATTTAGTATATAACCAAAACTAAAAACAAAATGTAAAAAATATATATAAAAATAAAAAATAAAAAAAATAAATAAAATATAAATAAATATATAAATATATATATATATATATATATATATATATATATATATATATGTAATTACATTTAAAATAGGTATTTCATTATATTTAGTTTTCCATGAACAAATTTATTTATCTTTTTTTTCTTAAATCAAAAATTATTCTAGAAATACATTTCCATTTCTGTTTATTAATAAATTTATTTATCCTTCATTATTATATTATTTATTAAAAACAGGATAATCTTAATGTTCAATTTTTCCTAAATATTATAATTTTCCTTAAAATTGATAAAATAAACTTTCTTTTTCGCTTGAAAAAGCAAGTACATTTTATTTGAAATCCACAAAAATATTATTATTCTCACTTTTAGGAATTTCTAAAGTTCCTAATTTATCAAATTTAATACCCAAAAATCCTTCTTCTTAATTTTTATAAATAACAAAATCTTAACCTAAATACAAATTATTACCTAAGAAACCACCTTTAATTATTTTCTACTCACAATGTTTCTAATATTATGCTTGTTAAGCGCTCTTTTAATTTAATAAATTTTATTCTTTAGCTTCTAAAGCACATAATTAACCATTTTAAACACTCAAAATGAAAATTTATTTCCCTCTTTTGTGCAAAGAAACAAATATTTCATCTTCTTCACTTTAAAGAATGTGCTTTGAACTCTATCTTGAAGTATAATGAAGGTCCTTATTAGTTAAAATGAATATTTTTTCGTTTCCGATTTATAAATGATCTATTATTTATAGATTTTCTGCTAATTTCTAATCTAATTCTAAAAACTGATTTTTTAAAAAGCTATAAGAAAAAATATTATGCTAATCAATAACTAACATTTATTAATTTTCTTTTTTTTATTTAAAAATATTTAAAATTATTTTATATATTTATTTTAATTAAAAAAAAAAAAAACCTTCTTGCTTATATTAATTCCATTAAACTAACTTTTTATTTTCAAAGGAAACATCTATTAAACCTAATTTATATTAAATATAAATACATATATATTTATTAATTTAAATATATAATTTAACCTGTTTCTTTATTTAAATATCCAAAAAATTATTTTGGCTTAAAAAATGTATTTTATTATTAGCTATTAAAGCCTCTTTTATTTCTCCTATATTTCTGTAGTTCCAATCATTTTAGCCAGCATTATGTTCATATTTTTGAACTGTAAAATTAAAAAGTACAATTAAAAGTAATAATATGAATTAATTTTTCATTTTTTAATTAAAAATAAGAGATTTATTTTTATTTTTTAAATTTTTTTTTAATAAATATATATCTTTTTATATTTACTTTTATATTATAAATAAATTATTAAATAAATTCTTATATATTATTTAATATTATTTTTTTTTTTCAATTAAACTAATTAATAATAATCTAATCAATATAAGTATTTTGTTTTGCTTTTAAATGAAATATTTCTCATATTAATTAAACGGATAATTAATTTCCAATCACCCTTTTTTAAGATTTGAAAAAAGATGTTTTTTTGTAATAATTGTAACAAAAAACTATTTATATTTTATAATAAGATAGAATATCCGAATAATTAAATATATTCTATAAGATAATTTGAAAAGCAAAATAAGTTTAATTTTTTTCATTCAATATTTTTTATACATTTAAGACATTCAAAATTATAGAAATTTATAAATTATTTTAAATAAAAACAAAAATAAATATATTTGATTATATGTATATTTATTATAATAAAAACTACTATTTTATTCAATATATTAAATAAAATTCAAATTTAAAATTTATAAGATTAACATAATTATATTCACAATCACCATATTATATTATTCATATAAAAATATCTAAAAATTTTATAGACAGAATTCTATTCTAACTCCATTAATAAAATTAAATACTAACATTTAAATATTTATATATTATATTAAATATTGATAAAAAAATAAATTAAATTAAATATATAATATTCGTATATAAACAATTCATTTTAAATATAAAAAACCCTTCCAAAAACATAAATTTTTTTAATCATATATATATATTATAAATGGATTTATATATATTTAATTAAAAGACACATTTTTATAATATTTATAAATAAAATATGAACTTGATAAATAAAAAAAAAAACTGATAATGTTTTTTATTTTATATTAAAATTAATAAGATCATAATAATAACATAATATATAATCTATATAACTTAATTTTATATAATTTATAAGAATTAAATTCATTTAAAATTTATAATTTATTATTTTGTGATTAAAATATTTATAAATAGTTTTTAATGTAAATAAATATAAATAAAAACTATTATTATTTGAATATATATAAATATAAATATATATATATATATATACTTAAAAATTATTATGTAATATAATAGATATATTTATAATATTTTATATTTATTTTTATAATGTTTTATGATTTTACATTATATTATTTTTATTCATATTTATTTATATTCTTTTTTTTCTAAATTATTATTATTTCCATTTATTTTTAAATATAAAATGCTTAATAAGCATAGTCATATAATTTTCTTATATTTAGTTACAAATTTTCAAAATATATTTTTATTTCATTTCTTATACTATTTTTTTCTGTTTATATTAATTATTATATATTATTTAATTTAAATATTAATACATTACTAATTTTCAGTTTTCTTTTTTTATACATTATTTATTTACATAAGCTGTGAAATATAATATTTTCGAATAATAAAGTTAAAAAAAAAGATTATATTATTTTAAACTTTTATTTTGTATATTCAACATTTATGAATATTCATTTTTTTATTTTATTTTTAAAACCTATATTTAAAAACATATATTTTATTCTATAACAAATATATATATATATATTATTAACATAAAAATATAAAATATTAATATATTTAAAATCTTTATAAAATATTTATAGATATTATTTCAATTATTTATATTTTAATTAAGATAACGAAAAATTTAAAATTATTTTATTTATATAGGCAAAATTTTTAACAAAATAACAAAACTTAACAATATAATTAATTTTATATTAAAATAAACTAAAATAATTTTATTTATAAGAAAACAATCTATAATAAACAATAATAGCCGTATTAATCTAATAATTATTTTAATATATTTATTTTGTTAATAAAATAAATGCGTCTATTATATTTATTTTTTTAATAAAATTTAAAAAATATTAATCAATTTTTAATCATAAATTTAATCTTTATTAATTAAAAAAAAATGATAAATAATTTATTTGATCATGAAATTTCTTTACAATTGGATAATATATAAATAATTGATTAAGAAACACCTTATTATACTTTTTAAATTTATTCCTTTTTCTTTTAATAAAACGTAGGTAAAATATCGCTAAGAGCTAAAACTACTTATGAAGAAAGATACTACTGGGGTAATATAGGTTTTTAAGTATATAAAAAATATAGAGGAAATAGATATGCTGCAAAAGCATGCTAATTATTACTAAATTTTGTATAAAGCTTAGGTTTTGAGGAAGTTTATTTTACTGTCGATCCCTCAAATATCCCTTCTATTAAAACTTTAGAAGGTATCGGTGCATATTTATTATAAGTTATTAATGTTCCTACAGATAGTAGTTTATATAAATAGGAATAATCAATTTATAATTGTATTTATTTATTAAAATTTTGATTATATATTTTAATTTTTTTTTTTTTGATAAAAATAAATATATATTAATTAATTTAACGAAAGAATAAAATATAAATTTGTTAAATAGAAAATTTGAAATGAAATCTTTTTTTTTTTGAAAAAAATATATATACATTAATATATTATATTAAATAAAAATTAATTTAAAAAAAATAAGTTAAAAAAAAAAGGAGAAAAAAAAAATGTATTAACAAAACTACACGTATGAAAAAAAAATAAACATAAAAAATACACATAAAATTCATAAAAAATAAAAGAATCTGCAGAGAAGAAACTGTTCCTTTAGAAAAGCGTAAAAAAGAAAACATAAACACATTAGGGAAATATAAGTAAAAATAAATAAATAAAATAGAAAAAAAATACAAAAATATAGAGCTTCTCCTTATTATTCAAGTATGATGAACTAAATAAACAATAATAATAAAAAATAAAATACACAAAATATAAGAAAAAATTAACAATAATAAAATAAAATGATAAAAGAAAACCCTTTTTTTGACAAAAATTAAAAGTAAATATACCAAACAACAGCTTAACGTCCACAAACATCAAATTAAAACGAATATAGACTTTGTTAACAAATAAGGGGATTAAAATATTAGAATAAATAGATAAATTAATAAGGAATATCAGATAAATTAAAAACCTGGAATAATTTTTACAATAATGATAAAAATATTGATTATATAAATAATAATAATAATAATAATAATAATAATAATAATAATAATAATAATAATAATAATAATTATTAATAATTAATAGAAAATTATAAGTTAAATTAAAATTAAGAGACACCACGAATTATTGTTACTGGAGGAAACTAGAAATGTAAATATTCCCTTTTATTTAAAAATCAAAATATATAAATAAATATAAAAATTTAAATAAAAGTTTATTATACTTAATAAAAATATAAGAATATACACATAAAATCAAATGCGTAGATAATTCATTCAATTTAACAAATAGTTTTGAAACAAGTGAAGATGAAAATTATGAAGAAGAAGAAGAACAGAAAAAAAATGATTATTTCAAATAAAATCTTTTTTTAAACAATTCTCATTCTCGACAAGAAATATATTAAGAATTAAATAAAAAAGATGAAGAAAATGAAGTAATTGATTAAGATTAAGAAATTTAAGAAGATTAGGAAGAAGAAGAAGAAGAAGAAGAAGAAGTTGAAGAAGATTAGGAAGAAGAATAATAATAATAGGAATAAGAATAAGAAGAAGAAGAAGAAGAAGAAGAAGAAGAAGAATTTTTTTTTTATTAAAAATAAAAAAATTAAGATTCTTCACTAAATAATTATTTTTTACAAAAAAAAGCTTATTATTATAGACCTATGACAACAGTAAATATTTCATCTTTAAAAATTATAATAATAAATTAAAAATTAAAAAAGGAAGGTGGAAGAAGAAGAGAAAATAATTAATAATAAACAGAAAATATTTTATGTTAATAAAAAACAGAATTTTTATAAAAAAATAATGGACTTTTTTAATAAATATAATAGCTAAATAATACTAATTATAAAGACTAGAACTAAGAATATGAAGTTTAAAAAAATTTCAGTCTTTAAAAAATAAAAAATAGAGGCTTTTCTGGAAATCTATAAAACAAAAATGAAATACTTATTAAACAAAACTAATAAAACAAAATTAAAATCCAATAAAATATTAATTTACCATTCTAAACAAGTTTAGAGAGAGATTTTTTATGTTTATTTGCAAACGATTATTGATTATAAAATAAAAAATAATATATATTATAAAAAGTTATTTTTATTAAGAAATTAAAAAAAAAAATTATATTAATATAATTATATAATTTTTAAATTAATTATAATTATCAAGTCATAGTAAAAAAAAAAATGAAAGATTGCATGTTAAATATAAAAATTCTTTAAAAATTTTAATTTATTTAAGTTAATAAAATTATTTTTATAATATCTTTTAATATAATACAAAAAATATATAATTAAATAATAGTAAATATTCAATAAGTTTCATTTAAAAAAAAAAAAAAAAAAATATATAAATAAATATATATAAAAAAAATTAAATATATATAGACATATATATATATTGAACTTCATATTTAATTAAAAATCATATTTTTAGGCTATATAAATCTTCATAATATTTCAATTTTTTTATTTTTATTTTAAATATTCTTAAAATTTTTTAATAAGTAAAAATATAATTATAAATTCATAAGATATACATTATTTGTATTATATACAAATTTGTACAAAATTTAAAAAATATATAGAAATTATTATAAGAATAAATATTAATATTTAAAAAATCATAATTATAAAAAAAAACAAAATTAAATATTTTATTTAAATTTCATAAATAAAAAAATATAAATATAAATTAATAATTATATATATTATGATTTTATTTGAACAAAAATAAAAATGAATTTCAAGTTTTAAATTAATTTTTTATTTATACATAATATATTAATTATTAATATGAAACCTATGTATAAATAAATAAATATGTATATAAGTTTTGTTGTCGGCCATACTAAGGTGAACACACCGGATCCCATTCGAACTCCGAAGTTAAGCGCCTTAAGGCTCGGTTAGTACTAAGGTGGGGGACCGCTTGGGAAGTCCGAGTGTCGACAGCCTTTTTTTTATATTTTTATAATTATTAAATTATTAATTTTAATTAAGGAATAATTATTATTTTTAGATTTGAAAGTTAATACTTTTTTATAAAACTCTTTAATTTAAACTATTATAAATAATATTAATTTTGTGTAAATTTTTTAAAACATTATTAATTTATAATAATTTTTTAATATACATTATTTAAATATATACTTTAACAATATTATTTAATCTTTTTTTATGAATTAAGAAAAAAAAAAAGGCTGTCGACACTCGGACTTCCCAAGCGGTCCCCCACCTTAGTACTAACCGAGCCTTAAGGCGCTTAACTTCGGAGTTCGAATGGGATCCGGTGTGTTCACCTTAGTATGGCCGACAACAAAACTTATATACATATTTATTTATTTATACATGGATTTTATATAAGTAATAAGCAAAAATATATCCATTTTTATTGTTTTTAAAAATATTTTGAAAAAAAAAAAAAAAACAATTATTAATAAATTAATATAATTATATATATGTATATATATATATATATATATATTAATAAATAAATATATTATATATGTATTATATTCATATTTCATTATTTGAAATTTCATCATATTATAAATTATCTTCCTTTTTTATGTTTATTAATAATTATATAAATATATTTAAAAAAATACAATAAGTTCTTTTGATATATCATCTTAATAAGTATTATTTTCAACAGTAAATTCTTCATCATATCTATTTAATTTAAATAAATATAAATATATTTATTTAAATTTAAAAATATATATATTTACAATAATTCCTCATTTATTTAGTTTTATTATTTCGAATTTTTTCTATCTATTTCTTTAATTTAAAACATATTATCTTTCTAAATTTAATTTTCATTTACTTTTTCAGCTTTTTTTTATTATTATATATCTTCATTTTATTTTTCATATTATAAATCTTCATTGTGTTTTCCAAATTATAAATCTTCAGTTTATTTTTTTAATTAATCAACATATTATTTTTTATTCTAATTATTTAATTATTATTCTTTTTTTAACTTTTAATTAAATCTAAATTTTTTTTACATCATATCAGTAGTTTTTTATACACCAGGATCATTTAAATCTATATCAATAATTTCTTCTTGCTCTTATTTTTATTTTTCATCTTATTTTTATTTTTACTCTTTTTCTTTTTAAATTTTAATTTTTTATTCTTTCAAAATCTTAGCTCCTTCTTCTTTAAGTTCTTTCATTTTTTGTATTTTATGGTATTTTTTTTAAATTTTAATAGCAGCCTCATTTTCATTTTTTTCTTATTTTTTTTTTTCTTAAATATTTTTTTCTTCTTCTTTATAACTTTTTTTTTATTGTTCTTTTTAATATTCTTTTTATATCATTAAATCGGCTTCTTCTTATTCTTTTTTTTCTTTTTTTTTTTATTCAAGTATTTTTTTGGCTTCTTATTTTTGTTTTTTCTTTTCTTATTTATTTTTATATGCAATTTAGATTCTCAAAGCAGCTTCTTCCTCTTCTTCATTTAATTTAAAATCTTCGTACATGTTCTCTTTTATTTCATCTAAGTTTTCTTTTATTTTTTCACTTATATATTCTTATGTATTCTCGCTTATTTTTTTTTAAGCTTCTTCTTCTTATTCGCTTTATTCTTAATCTTTTTTTATTTCATCCTAAATCTATTTAACTTATTATTTTTATTTTTTTTATATAATTATAGCTGTTTGTTCTGATTCTTCTTTTTCATTCTTTTTTTTTTCCATAATTTTTTAGACCTCCTCTTTTTATATTAAAACAGCTTCTTCTTTTTTTAAAAAATATATTTCTTTTTAAACATCTTCTTTAATACTTTTTATGCCTTCATCTTTTTGTTTTATTCGTTAATCTTCTTCTTCTTCTTATATTTATTTTTGATATTCTTCTTCTTATTTTATTCTTTGATATTCTTATTCTTGTGATTTTTTCTTTAATATTCTTCTTCTTGTTATTTTTTATGTTGATATTCTTCTTCTTATTTTTTTCGTTGATATTCTTCATCTTATTTTTTCTTTGATATTCTTTTTCTTCTTCTTATTTTTTACTTTGATATTCTTCTTCTTATTTTTTTAGTTGATATTCTTCTTCTTCTTCTTATATATATCTTTGATATTCTTCTTCTTCTTATTCTATTTTTTGATATTCTTCTTCTTCTTATATTTATATTTGATATTCTTCTTCTTCTTATTTTTTCCTTTGATATTCTTCTTATGTTTTTCTTTGATATTCTTCTTATTTTTTACGTTAACATTCTTCTTCTTCTTCTTATATTTATCTTTGATATTCTTCTTCTTCTTATTTTTTTCGTTAATATTCTTCTTCTTATATTTTTCTTTGGTATTATTCTTCTTCTTCTTTTTATTCCTATTTTTTTATTCTTTGATATTCTTCTTCTTCTTATATTTATATTTGATATTCTTCTTCTTATTTTTTTTGTTGATATTTTTGTTTTTCTTCTTCTTATATTTATATTTTATATTCTTCTTCTTCTTCTTTTATTCTTTGATATTCTTCTTCTTTTTATTTTATTTTTCTTTGATATTCTTCTTCTTATATTTTCTTTTGATATTATTATTCTTCTTCTTATTTTTTTCGTTGATATTCTTCTTAGGTTTTTCTTTTATATTCTTCTTCTTATATTTATATTTGATATTCTTCTTCTTCTTATTTTTTTCCTAAATATTCTTCTTCTTCTTCTTATTTTTTTTTTCTTAGATATTCTTCTTCTTCTTAAATTTATCTACGATATTCTTCTTCTTCTTATTTTATTCTTTGGTATTCTTTTTCTTCTTCTTATATATTTATTTGATATTCTTCTTCTTCTTATTTTTTTCCTAAATATTCTTCTTCTTCTGCTTATTTTTTTTTTCTTAGATATTCTTCTTCTTCTTAAATTTATCTACGATATTCTTCTTCTTCTTATTTTATTCTTTGATATTCTTCTTCTTCTTATATTTATATTTGATATTCTTCTTCTTCTTATTTTTTCCTTTGATATTCTTCTTCTTATTCTTTTCTTTAATATTCTTCTTCTTATATTTTTCTTTGGTATTCTTCTTCTTATAATTATATTTGATATTCTTCTTCTTCTTATTTTTTTATTCTTTGATATTCTTCTTCTTCTTATATTTATATTTGATATTCTTCTTCTTCTTATTTTTTTCTTTGATATTCTTTTTCTTATTCTTTTCTTTAATATTCTTCTTCTTATATTTTTCTTTGGTATTCTTCTTCTTCTTATTTTTTTATTCTTTTATATTCTTCTTCTTCTTATAATTATATTTGATATTCTTCTTCTTCTTATTTTTTTCTTTGATATTCTTTTTCTTATTCTTTTCTTTAATATTCTTCTTCTTATATTTTTCTTTGGTATTCTTCTTCTTCTTATTTTTTATTCTTTATATTCTTCTTCTTCTTCTTATATTTGTATTTGATATTCCTCTTCTTCTTATTTTTTTCTTTGATATTCTTTTTCTTATTCTTATTTTTTTCTTTAATATTCTTCTTCTTCTTATATTTATATTTGATATTCCTCTTCTTCTTATTTTTTTCTTTGATATTCTTTTTCTTCTTCTTATTTTTTTCTTTGATATTCTTCCTCTTATTTTTTTTGTTGATATTCTTCTTATTTTCTTCTTTAATATTCTTCTTCTTCTTCTTATTTTTTTCGTTGATATTCTTCTTCTTATTTTTTTCGTTAATATTCTTCTTATTTTCTTCTTTAATATTCTTCTTCTTATTTTTTTCGTTGATATTCTTCTTCTTATTATTATTTTTTTCGTTGATATTCTTCTTCTTATTTTTTCGTTAATATTCTTCTTATTTTCTTCTTTAATATTCTTCTTCTTATTTTTTTCGTTAATATTCTTCTTCTTCTTATTTTTTCTTTGATATTCTTCTTCTTATTTTTTTCGTTGATATTCTTCTTATCTTTTTCTTTAATATTCTTCTTCTTCTTATTTTTTTCGTTGATATTCTTCTTCTTATTTTTTTCGTTAATATTCTTCTTATTTTTTTCTTTAAAATTCTTCTTCTTCTTCTTCTTATTTTTTTCTTTGATATTCTTCTTCTTTTTATTTTTACCTTTGATATTCTTCTTATTCTTATTTTTTCCTTTATTCTTCTTTTTGTTTTTTTCTTTAATATTCTTCTTCTTATTTTTTTTTTTGATTTTCTTCTTCTTTTTTTCTTTCTTTTTCTTCAATTTTTTTTCTTATTTTTTCTTCTTTTTCAATTATTTTTATTTCTTTTTCTTCTTTTAATTTTTCTTACAATTTTTTTTCATTATCTTTTATTAATTTTCTTCGTTCTTCTTCTTTCAATTTTTCTTCTTATTTATATTTTTATATTTTTTATTTCTATTTTTTTTCATCTTCTTCTTTTTATTTTCTTTCTTCTTCTTTTTTTATTTGTTTTTCAACCTATTCATTTTATTTTTCCTCAAATTCTTCTATAAGTTTCTTCTCATATTTTTCTTTTTTTCTTTATTCTTCAATCAACTTTTACTTTTTTTCTTCTTCTTTATTATAATTTTCATATTAGTCTTCTTCTGTATAATTTTCTTCAAAATCCTAAATATACTCATCTCCTTCATTTTCTTCATTTTCTTCATTTTCTTCTTTTTCTTCAGCTTCTTTTTATTCTGAAATCAACTCTTTCAAATCTTCTAAATCAATTTAATTTAAATTCATTTTAGAATTTTTTTCAAATAATTTTGATATAATATAATCAACTTCTTCTATATTCAGACTCGAATTAAATTTCTAAAGGACATCATCAATATCTAAAAATTTTATTTTTCCATTTTCTTATTTTTTTTCCAAGTATTCCAAAATTAAACTACCTTTCTCACTTTAAAACAAACTATTTATATATTTTTCTATTTTTTTACTATTATCTTATATTTTTTAAATATTGTATTATTATATTATATTTTCGAAAACATCCTATATTGTTTTATTTGTACATTATTTATTCGGTTTTTGAATTATTTCGTTTTCTTTTTCATCAAATTCTATAAAAAACCGAACTAAATTTATTAATTCTTCTTCATTTTATATATTAAAAAGTTCACTTTTATTTAAAAAAAAATTATTTAGATTATTTATTTGTTTTGTTTTTATACTTTTTAAATAATTATTTAAGTTCCATTTAATTAGCATAGCCTTTTTAAAATAAAACCTTCTAAAAAATTTATTCATAAGGTATTTTTTTAGATATTAAATTAAATCTAATATAATAGGCAGTCATGTAAATTTCACTAAAAGTAATTTTTTTTACTTTTTAAATATCTATTTCCTGTATTTATTTTTATTAAGTTTCCTTTTAGTTTTAACTTTGTGATAATAATTATTTATACGAGAATTTCAATTAAGAATTTTATTTAATAATTTTTTTTTATATTTAATTATTTTGGCTTTGCTTAAGTAGCTCTATTTAGTTTTCCTTGTCGTTTAGAGATTTTTTAACATTTTTATATTAGATTATTATTATTATAACTCTCTATTAACCTCATTAATTTTATTTTCAAAAAAATTAATTTTATTCTCATATAGGATTAACTAAGAATTCATTTCTGAATTTTCTTTTTTTAAACTTTCCATTATATAGTCTTAACTCTCATTTACTTTTAAATTTTTTTTAAACTTTTCAAGCATTTTTCTCAATCTTTAAGTCTCTTCAAAAAGTGCATTTTTTTCAATATTTAATTCTTAAAACTGTGTGTATTTAATCGCCTTTTTAACAACTAATAATTCATTGTTTTTTGATTAAATTTCATTCTTTTATTCCGCAATAACTTTCTTTAAATTAAGAAAAAGACTTCCTTAATTATTTTAGGAATAATTATTATTAGCCAGCTAATAATCTTAAATTATTTTTTCGTATTTTTCAACTTTCCTAGTAAGATTTTCACATCGCGATTTAAAATTCTAATTTTCGACTTTTAATTCGTTTGTTTCGTTTTTTTTTAACATAAGATCTTCTATTATTTTTTCCTTTTAAATTATTTTATATATTTTTTTTTATTTAAAAAAAAAACTTTATCAAATGACATATATGAAGGCTTTATTTAGTCAAATTCATTATTTTTTTTATAACTTATATATGGACTTTTCATATATTTTGATGTTTGGGGACGACATTAACTTTATATGTAAACATTATTATATGAAGGTGTTGGCTTTGATATTATAAATTATGTTAATTATGAATTTTCTCCACTTTTTGCTTTCATATTTTTTGTATTATTTATATTAATAAATTTTGAGTATAGAACTTTTTTTTAATATGAATTTCAATATTAATTTTTTTTTATTTTTTAAAAATAATTAATTAATAATATTTTAATTAAAAATAAGAAAAAAAAAATATATTTAAAGTAAATAATTTATATTTAATATTCATTTAAAAAAAAAAATATCGATAATACATATATTAAATTATAGAAATATTTTTATACCAATTATAAAAATTTTTACATAAATAAATATGATTTTCTTTTTAAACTTAACAAAATTTTGTTTAAATTTTTATTTCACATAAAATATAATGATATATTTTAAAGCCAAAAAATTTGAAATATCTATTCGAGATAAAAGAAAATTATAATAAAATTCTTACAACCTATAATAAAAAAAAACTTTATAAAAAATTAACAAAAAAACAACAATAATATTAGATAATAATTAAATAATTAATATACATAGGTTTCTTTTTAAATAAAATATATTTAAAAGTATACTCATTTAAAAATATTTGGTAGATAAATTAACAAATTAATTGCAAATATATGAATATGCATTTGTGTTTATATTTAATAAATATCGAAAATTATAGTATAAAATTATATATATATATTAATATATTTTTTTTATAAATATTATCTTAAAATAATGTTAATATTAACAAATATAATTTTATATTAAGAATATATATTTATTAATGCAGTTTAATAGAATTTAACTTTTTATAATAAAATTATTAAAAAAATGAAATTTTCTATATATTACATTATTTATATTCATTTACATTAAAAAATTTATAAATATAAAAGGAAAAATATTAAATTAATTAATTTTAAAATATATAAAAAAAAAATTAATTTATATATATTTATATATATATATATCTTTATTTTATATCTTTTTTTATATAATATTTTTTTTATATATTTTGGTTTTTTTTTTTTTATAAATTTTAATTTTTTTTGAATTAAATTTATTTTTTTTATACATTATATAAATATCAATCTTTATTATTTTATTTTTTATATCTATGTTTTTGATTTTTTCCTAAATAATTATTCTATTAACATTATTTTATTTAAGAATTATGATATAATTATTTCATTATATATTCTTTTTATTTAGAATACACTAATTAATATAAAATATTAATTAATAACTTAATATTATTTTAAAAAATGTTATATCTAACTATACATATTGTATAAATCTTTTTTTAATAATTCGATTCTTGTTGTAAATTTTAAGATTTCAAATTTATTTTTTTAAATATATTTTATAATCTATTTTTTTAATGTTATATTTTTAGAAAGCTTTATATCCTTCGCGATTTGATTTATATACACTTTTTTAAGAAAAGGAAGATTTAATTATAAAATTTATTAAAAAAAAGTTTCTTTAAAGATTAACAATTTTAATTATTTTTAATTTTTGAATTAATAATTTTACTAATTTATTTTTATAATTAATTTTTTATTGTAATATGTAAAAAATACAAAAATATTTTTTTATAAATAATTTATTATAAATAAAATTATAAAAATATTTAATCTATATATTATTTATTATGTTAAATATCAAATTTATAATATATATTATTACGATTGTAAAATAAAAAAAACATATTGAAAATATGAAATAAAGATAATTTTAATTAATAAAAAAAATATTAATAAAAATAAATGATTTCATAATATTAAAAATCATAAGAATTAATTTCTAAATTCGACAAATTCGGTTCTTAAATAAGCCTATAATTTTAAAAAAACTAAATACACTAAACTGTCTTTGGAGGCGTATTCTCTATATTAATCTATTCATCAGCTATTTTTTTCACGTATTTTTTTGGTAAAGAACTTTGGGAAAAAACTTCTCCTATAACAAATACGTCAGAAGAACCTGTTTTCCAACCTGAAAAATTCGAAATAAACGCGTAAACTTTCAGCTTTGCTTTTGGAATATAAAATTTGAACTGGGAACATTATATAGATCCTTCCATTTATTAAGTAAAAGCATTTTAAAAGACATCATATAAAATATTTAATAAAACAACAAATTAATACGAATAAGTATATAAAAATACTGAAATAAAACTTGTAAGATGTAAACAAGAGCATTTTATTGTAAAAAAAAAAATATAGAATAATATAATTATATATATGTATATATATATATATATATTTAAATATATATATATATTTATATATATATACATTTTAATATATTTATATATATTTATATTTAGATACAGGGTGTTGATGATTATTTTAAAAATCTTCCGTTTTTAAATGATTTATTTTGTTTTGATCCTGATTAATAAATGCACATAGAAGGAGATTTTTCTTCTGACTAATTTGGTGTAATTGAAATATATTTAGGAGCTTGTGATTAAGAAAAATCTAATATAGTATGCAAAGATAAGGAATATATTAATAAACAGCTTTAAAAATCATTTTTTGCATCTTATTTTACTGATAAATTAATTGACCCTAAAAACTACTAATAACCATTCAAATATATCGCCAAAGACTTATTCTGGCCAATATCAAATGATATGTCTAAATCTATTGTTTTATATATGAGAAATATTTATATAGAAAGTGACAATGGTTTGATTACCGATAATATTTAGTATTTAAAGGATACTGTATATTCTTATTAAACGGAATAAGTATAATCTACTAAAGAAAGCGAGAATTTTTTTTTTTTACTAATTAGGTTTGAGAAAGGAAAATAGTCTAGATATTATAGGAGATATAAAAAACCTTAAGATATATTAGCTAATATTGCGGGGATTGTAGATGCTTTGATTTTGTTGGAATTACAATCATTATGCCATTAAATGAACTTGATTTGAGTAAAAGACTTGTAAATGAAGTTTATAATTTCTAAAATGTAGAAGGAGAAAGTAATAATAAATAAAATTAGAATTAAATTGATAAACTTGTCGATATAATTAAAGATAAAGAATTCGTAGATATATAGGATTAATAGAAAAATAAAAATATTATAGATAAATGTAAGTCAACACATAATTTAGCGCTTTCTAATTATATTAAAAATTATAAAAATTAAAAAAAAATTAACGCGGAACAATAAAAAGCAGCTGAAAAAATTATCTAAGTAATATTTTTTTTGTTTATATTATTAATACTAAAAAAAAATAAAAAAATAAAAAATTTATTTGAAAAAAATGTAAAAAAAATCAATTAATTATAATAACTTTATTAATATATATAAAGGATATTACTTTTAAAATTAATATTATATTTTCTAATTTTTTTTTTAAAAAAAAAAAAAAAAAAATCATTAACAAATAAAAATGGCGGAGAAAAATGTATTATTCATTTTTTTCTTGATAAAAATATAATATATATATATATATATATATATATATATATATATTATTTACATAATAATATTAAATAAAAAGTACACATAAAACGATATATAATTAAATGTATATGATTATATTATGTATTATTTATGCCCTTGTAAAAAAAAATTGAAACAAAAAAAATAAAAAATAGAATATTCTTTAAATCTTCTAAATGATCATTTAGATATATTATATATTATAAATAAGCTCTTAGAGGTTGATAAATTAAAAATGTTAATATTAGATCCTGATTAGATAAAATTATTTAGCTATTTACCAAGGCCATTGATAAAAAATGAGAACATATTTATATAAAAAGATGAAAACTAAAAAACGCAAAGAGAAATAAATGAGTTTATTTTTATGGACAAAAGAACTCACATATAAAAAGCAGTTGATGGATATTAATCTTTTTTAAAATTAAAAACTAAATAAGATAAAAATACTATAGATTAAAAATTATTGGATATGCTAGATCCGAAAATACTTTAATATTTTGATGATACTGCAAGTAATTATATAGAAAATAATACTAATAATAAATAAATAAATTGTTTAAAAATAAACAATCATACCGAATACTCTTCTAATAATATAGTCGTTAATAATAATTTAAGTAAATAGGCTCGGATAAAGGATAGTTAAATATCAATTGGTTTAAATAATTTTCCTTTATCTCCTAACATTGACATTAGTGAAAGACAAGATTTTACAAAAGTTCATGATTTTTATTAATTTAAAGGTGTTTCAAATTTAAACTAAAATTTATGATATTATTTTATATGAAAAAAATTAATATTTTTAGTTTTATTTAATATCATATTTTTTTATTTTTTTTGTTAACAAAAAAAACTTCTAGTATTTTCTTAAAAAATAATTTTCCAATTTTTTTTTTTTATTCGTAAATTATGTTATCCTATATCTTCTATATTAATATGATTTTTATTTTATATTCAATATAATAATCAAATAGAGTTTCTTTCTTTATTTTATTTATTTATATATTATTTATTTATTTTATTCACTAGTTTCTATTTTTCACATATAATAGTTTATTATTTTATAATTCATTATAAAAATATAATATATTTAAAAAGAAATTTCATTATGTTGACTTTTTAGAAAGCTCATCATCTATAAATAAATAAAATCTTCAAAATATTTAATTATTTATAAAATCTTTTTGCTTTAATTAAAAATTATTATAATATATTAATATTAATACAAATAATCTTTTATTTATAATTCTATTTATATAAAAATTATCAGGTTTATAGTATTTATCTTCTATAAATATTTCTTAATTAAATCCCTTAAAAAAACTAAAGTTTTGTAATATTTCTAAGTGTAAGGCGTTTGAATATATATTTAATATTATTTTAGTTTATTTTTTTATAAAAAAAAAAAAAAATTATTTTTATATTAATTATTAAGATTATATAATTAATTATTTGAAAAAAAGTTAATAATATTAAATTTAATTTAATATTTTTTTTTTACATTTAATTTATAAAATTGTGTTTAATTCTTAAATTTTATTACAAAATACTTTATATATTATCTATAAAAAGGTTTTAATAAATTTTAGGATCATAATTATAAATCTATATTGTGTTTTCGATTTCAAAAGTAATATTAAATATATACTTTGTTAATTTTAATTTTTTGAAGAAAAAACTTATCCTTTAAACATTATAGTCTATATGGATTGTTTTTACTATATTTTTTTTAGAAAATAATTAACAATGAATATAGAAGAAATATATATATATATTTTTAATAAAAATATTCCTTTATATATAATATATTATATATGATATTAATAATATTGATTTTTATATTAGTTACTTACTTTAATTGTTTTTAATATTTTTTTTTTTTTTTCTATAATTTTGACTTTTTTTTCTTTTAAAAATAACTTCGATTATTTATTTTCCAAAAAAAAGCATTCTTTTATCGTTATTATTCTGCAAATTTATTTCATTTCAAAATATTTAATATACTCATTATCAAAATATTAAATAAAATTAGAGTGTAAAATCTATAATAATTTAAAATCTCAATTACTCTTTTTTTTCTTTTTAGTTTTTAAATTAATAAAAGAATAAAAACCTTAATTCTTGTAATTTATTTTATAAATAAAATAAAATTATTTTTCTATTTCTATATAAAATAACTTATTAGTTATTATATTAAAGATTTATTAATTAAAAATACTTAAGAAGAATTTTCCTTTTTTTAAATTAATTTCTTTTTTTTGAAAAAAACTATTTCTTTTATATAATTTTGCTTAATTTAACAATAAAAATAAATGAATTAGTATTTAACTAAAGATAATAAGTTTTTATTTTAAATTAATTCTTATAAACATCTATTTTAAGTTATATAGAATTTTGAAATTAAAATATAAATAATTTTATTCTTCTAATAAAAATATATTGTTAAATTTATAAAAAATTGCTAAAAATGTTTGTATTTTTTATTAATAAATTTAAATAAAAAAGTATTTAAAAAAAACAAAAAAACTATATATATATAAATAAGAATATAATATTAAAAAGTAAAAATTATTATATAAAAATTATATTCTATTTTATGTAAATATTAATTAAAATATAGTATTTAATATATTTTTATATCCCGAAAAAAAAATATTCACAATTTCCTTTTTAAATTATTATGAATACTCTAAACAAATTAAATAAATTCTTCTTTTCCTTTTTAGTTAATAATATTATTAATATTATCAAACCCATTAAATTATTTTTCATAATATACTTAATTATCTTTATTATCAACAAATTAAATTAAATTTTTCACATTTTCTCCTTAAAAAATTAAACTATATAAAATAATAAAATGTAATTCATTTTAAGCATCTTTTTTCCAAAATTAAGAGGCCTTTATTAAAAGCTATTTAATCTCATTTTTGGCAACAAAATTATTTAAATTTCGAAATTTTTATTAAATAAAATCACATAAATAATCAATTTATTATTCGTTTATAGGCTAGTTATTATCATCAATATCATTTACAAAGAAATTCTTATCATCTGTATCCCCATATACACCTATTGTATGTATTAAATTAATAAAATCACTATCACTCCATATTTTAATAGTCTTTTTTTAAAAGAAATAAAAATATTATTAATATAAGAAATATTACGTTTATTTTGCTCTCATCCTATATATTTTCAGTATTAAAATTTTCGAATATTTAGTCGCCTTCTTATAATGTACATAAAGGTCTGCCTTTTTTAATTCCGGATTTAGGTTAATCAGGATTTGGTTTATATTTTTTATTTTTATCTTAGGTCTCATGCTTTTTTTTCATATGGGTGTATAAAGCTGCGTTTGTTCCGTATTTTTTTTAACAATTTTCATATTCACAGTTAAATTCGCGAACAATTTCTTTTTGTTTTCGTCGAATAGCTTTTCTTTTTTGATTCATTTTTTTTTGTTATTAATTTAATATGTGTATAAATTATTTTTTCAAAAATTAATTATATTATTTATGTATATAAAATCATATTAAATTTGGAATTTTTTTTTTATTTTACTTTTTTTTAATTATATTTTTTTTATAAATAATTTTTTGTATTAAAATATTAACAATATAACTTTATATATATATAATTATATATATTATTATATATTTATAATATTTAATACCGTTGGAATTTTTTTTTACATATTTTTTAATATTGATATTCTTTTTTTTTATTTTTTTATAAATTAAATATTTGAAATCTATATATATTATTTATTATAAGGTATTTTTTTATATCTGATTTATAATCAATTAATAATTGTTTTTGTAAAGAAAATTAATATTTTTAATTTATTATTGTTTTACATTTGATATTATTAAAATTTAAAAATAAATAAAATAAAATAAAATAAAATAATATAAAATAAAATAAAATATATAATTTAACATTGCTAGAATAAAGTTATTTATTAGGAAAATTAATTATAATTCATTATTAATATATATATAAAATAATAATTTTAAAATTCTTATTTTATTTTTTCAATTGAACCTATTAATAAAAATTATTTAATATTTCCATAATTACTAAGAAGTTAACAATAAAAAAATTGTATTTATAAAAATAAATAATTTATAAAAATAAATAATATATATATATAAATTAATGATAGTTAAAGTTTTAAATAAATATATAAAAAAAATAGTCTTGTTTAAAAGAAATAATTTTATGGCTATAATTTAAATACACACATAATTTTTTTAATTTTTTAATATATATATATATATATAATTATTTTTAAAAATAAATTTAAATATTATATGATTATTTATATATAAATATTTTTTATTGTTTTGTAACATTTTTTCACATTAATATTTTAATTTTATTTATTAATGAATCATATTGAATTAAATAAATAAAACCATTCTTATTTCTATTTTTATAAGCCTAAAGTTCCTTTTATTTTAAACATGTTTGATAGTTATAAATAAAATTAACTTTTATGTTTTGTTTATTAAATAATGCAAAAAATTTAAATAAATATAAAAATAAATAAAATCAAATTTATAATATAATTAATTTTATATTTTTTTTTTTATATTTTATAATAATTTTGATCATTTAAAATAGTAAAGTTAATATACCTATTAAACTAATAAAATAATCAAGGTAAATTATAATAATAAACCTAAATCATAAATATAAGTAATAAAAATTATATTTTAATAATTCATAAAAAGCGGAAAAAAAAAAAAAAAAAATGTAAAACGAACCCCAAAAAAAATTAAGAAAAAAAGCCATAAGTGAATATTAATAAACATAAGAAGAAAAAAAAAATAAGAAAAATAAAACTAAATAAAAACAAGTAAATTAGCTAATTAAAGTAAATCTTTATTTCTCGAAAAATCTTAATAAAATTAAATTTAATTATTAAACTTAAATACAAATACAAATACTAATTCATATTAAAATTTGAATTCCTTATGTAAAATTAACGAAAGCTTAATATTATAAAATAATACAAATTAAATAATTACTACCAATAAATCTGCATTTAAATCCTCTTTTTCATCTACTTCATGGAATATTCCATATTTATAAATTAAAAAATATACAAATTAAGCTTTAATTTAATTAAGTGGAATCCAATTATAATAAAGTTAGAAAGATTTGTTCGAAATAAACGAGAAATTTCAATAAATAAATTAGAATAAGTTACTTTTAGTAGAAGTATTTTGCGAGAACGGCTTTTTGCAAATTAATGAATAGGAATTTTTTTTCGATATTTTTAGTTAATATGGGGAGGTAGAGAAAATTTTTATTTATGAAAGAAAGAAATAAACTATTAATGTCTGTGTAGAAATGGAATTTTCAATAAATTTGAAAAGAGCCTTTGAAGAATTAAATGAGAAAAATATTAAGTATATAAATATTTTTTACTTTTTAAAGTTTTTTTCCCGAATAAAATCTAAGTTTGGGAATGTAGTTGTGCATTTTAAATTTTTAATATATTTAAAATACCTATAGAATAGGTTTATTTGGAAAATAATAGCTTTTATAATAATTCTAAAGTGGTTTTTTTAAGCGGCTTTTAGAATTTTTCAGTTCAAAATATTTTTAATCTTTTTTCTTGTTTTGGAAATATTGAATG